CGTTATGCCAAATATTCTTGTTTACGTGAGTAAATGGCAAGATTCTTGAGAGGTTTTAATGTCTCGCCCTTTGTAGGGTGAGCTACATCTGTAAGGAAATACATCTGTTCAAAAAAATATTTGCGGAAACTATTTGGTACTTTTGCAACCTCAGTAATGCTACAATGAGTGTCAAACTCCAGTCTTTGAGAACAGCTATGCTTCAACTTCAGTCATGTTTAGTAATGAAACAATTTCAAAGTTTGTTTGTTTAGTTGAAACTGGCTTAAAAGTTTATTCTGTGGCGAATGCGTCATTTTCAACTAAAATAAAAAAAAAGGTTTTATCTTATCCTTTTTTTTAAGTTCAAGCCAGGACATCTAAAAAAGAAAAAAAAAGATTACTTCTCGAAGTGAGAGCGAGAGAGAAAAAAAAGCTTTTTCAGCAAATGGTGAAGTTTCAATCTTTTATTCCAAGAAATATTCCATCATTTATTTTTAAAAATCCAATTTTTCTTCTGTCATTTTGAGAGAAACAAGTTTGTGGGAAGCATGTAAAGGCTTGTATAGAGTGAGAGCTGCCTGTAATAATGCACAGCTCATCCAGCAGGCTTTGTTATGTCTGCTGCACACGCAAAAATACGGTATTTTATAATCACACTAGACTGGCGTCAGATGAAATACCCTGAATGTATTGACTTCATCAAGGTTACTCTTTTATTGCTGAAAATCGTCATTAGCAAAGGGAAAAATATGTTGTTTTTCTGGCCTTGAAAAGAAGTGTCATGTTGAGGTGGGCAGTGAAAGACTCATGTCTGGCATGAAAAAATGTTTTTCAAAGTATTTCTGTTTTTTACTTCACAGCGTTACAACAGATCTGCTGTTGTCACTCAGGTAAAGAAATGTCGAAGATTGGTAAAAAAGAAACATTAACAGGATCAGAACACACTATTCCTTGTGTAGGGGTTTTGTCTCCATCTGTGACCAATTCCTGTGGCAGATTTTTCTTTTTAAATGTTTGATGTAGGTCACACAGTTCAGGTGTCTTTCCATGTTTTTTCTTTCATTGGTGTTTCAACAGTGGAGCCAGTCGGGCAGCTGCTTTCTCTCTCTCTCTTTTTTTTTTAAAGTGAAGGAGTAAAATCATGAGTTTGCAGCTATTTTAACCAAAGAAATCTGATCAAAGTCTGTGAGAGATTTACGAAGTTAAATTACCAAGCAAAACAATTTATTTATTTATTTATTTTTTAAATAACTGCCCGATTTTTGTCCCCACACTCCGTCCGTGGCTTCGTTTCATCCAATTCTGCATTTCAGCATGAACTCTTCAGTCAGACAGTGTATGGTCTAAATCAACTTTTAAAGGCTTTTAATAGAGTGACATCTTTTTCAATCCACATAAATTTGATAAAGTAGAGTAGAAAACATTTCAAGGTGTTGCAGGTGTAGACTGCAGGTCGCTCAGATTGTAACTAATTAGCAATATGGCTGCCAACATCAGGCTACATTTGTATACTAAATCAGGCATGACAAAATAAAATGAACGCAAAATGTTTGCTGGAAAATTAACAACCAACACTGCCTTCTTTAGTAATTTATCTACTTGCTATGCATGTGCTTTCTTTTTAAGTTTTTAACTGGATTAATTCAGTTTAACTCGTGCTCATGTTTGCAGGTGCTTCCTCAGGTAACTTCTTACTACTTCCCATATTCGTAACAATTTCTGCATTTTGTTTTTTTGTTGTTATTTTTTTTTGGTATGCTTTAAGTCTGGTTCATTTTGTTTCTGTGTGATTCGCTTGCAAAAGCATTAGTTACACTCTGTGTGCCTGTCTGTACACTGTAATGAATCACTGCATTACTCAACGTCTTCCTCCTCTCCGCCACAGACAGAGAGAGGGAGATGAAGAGGGAGACTGAGTGACTCTCCCTGTTTGCAGCGTTCAGCCCCTGCAGAAGACACCAGAGCTTCGGCTGAGTCCGTCTGAGAGAAATGCATCCTTTGTGATGTTTCGTTTTCTCGCGAAGGCCACCAGCACACCACCCACTCCCAACGCATTCTCCCGGGACTGGTTGCTTGGCAACGGCAGCTGATTGGGTTAGCAAGGTTAAGAAAGGGTCTGGCACGGGCCGGAGGAATCAGATCACTCCCATTGATCATCCTCTCTGCGAGCTCCACTGAGAACTGAGGACGCAGCCACAAAAAAAGGAAAAGAAAAATCAAAGCCGTGCCCTGGTGTCTGAGTGGGGGGTCATCATGCGCTGAGCTCACAGGGCCGTGGCAGGCCTCTTTGGCTGCGTAGACCACCGTCCCACGAACCTTCTGCAGATATAACTTAGCTGTAGCAGGAGGAAGCTTTTAATGTCAACCTAAAAGTTTTTTTCTTTTTTTTTAAAGTCTTTCCTTGATACCGACATGCACGTAAAAAGGTGATGAAAGAACAGGCAGGAGGACACCAGGGTGGGCGGAGGAGTTTTAAATGCCAGCCTCTGCACCCACAGAGTTTGCATTACAACAGGATATAAACTTCAGTTTTTTTTTGTTTTTTTTTTACAGGGTTCTTGGCAATCTGGTAACAATGCAATTAGCAGTCTGGTATTTCTTCAAGCGTCTTCTTCAAGGGACAAAAGCTATCCAAAACCAAATTTAAAAGGGATGTTTAACATTTGATGATTCACTAATCAAATTTGGCCAAATCTGTAGAATCAAATAAGCTCTTCAATAGAACATGGCTTAATGGTTATAGCACATTTTCAGTTTGTTTTTCTGTTTTTTTCTGTGTTCTGCTCTTTGGAAGAACACAGTTGACGGTCCAATGTCTCTGAATTGTTATAATTTACTCATTTTTTTCTGGATTTTCAGAGCTCCAGTAGTTAGAGTAAAAAATGTGGATTATAACACAGTTAAACCACAAATATGCAGTCTAGCATGGATAAGTGTCACCATTTCTATCACCCTAAATATTTTTTTTGCAAAATAAAGCAAAGGAATAATTGTTTATATCCTCTTTTCATGGTTTTATAATGATTAATCCTACAGTCTACATTCACACTTAAGATAGCCTCGCTTCAATGTGACTGTTCTGTGAGATGACATGTAAAAAGTTTTGTGTTGCTCTTAACTATGTAATGTGGGAGATATGACCATATGAATGAATGCAGGAAGTGCAGTGGGCGGGGCTAAGATGATGTCAGCAAATGAGCAGGCTCATGTAAGTTTGCTCAAGGTCACAAACTGATCTCTGGGATTTCTTCTTCAGGTTTGTCTTCAGGTTTTGTCCATGAGAAGAGTTCATGGTTCCGTCACTGATGACAAGTTTCTTAGGTCCTGAACCAGCAACACAATCCCCAACCATCACTCCATCACCACTGTGTTTAACAATGGTTATGGTGTTCGTTTTCTGATATGTGATGCTAGTTTAGTGAACTTCTGGATGAGTCGTTCATGGATTCTTAGGCAGGCCAATTGTGAAAGATTAACCAATGTTTCATGTTTTTATTCTCATTTCTGTTTAATGGCTCTCATTTTGAATGAATTCAAACATCAAAAATACTTTATTGATCCGAAAGGAAAATTACATACACATTAACCACAAGTCACAAAGCCTTGGAAATGACTTCGTAACCCTATCTAGACTGATAATGTCATCAACATAGTTTCTCATCTGTTCTGAATTGGTTTTTCTTACATTGAGACTTATGGTTTTGCTTATTCAGATGTTTTTGCCTCCTTCTTGTGTGTCAGACTGGTTCTATTTAAGTAATTTCTGAATTTTACAGATCAAGCAACAATCAGGCTTGTGTGTGGCTCGATAAGACTTGACTGAAAACGTAATTAAAATTAAAATTAAGGGAGGCAAAGATAGGTAATCTTTGTAAATTTTAAAATTTGCTTGCTTATCCAGCTTATTGGATGTGACAAAAAAAAAAAAGCAAGTCCTGCAAGTTCTTACCGCTCATAAATTGTGAAATTGTGTTCTTACACATGTATCCCCTGATGTCTGTGTATGCAGCCTCCTCTGCTTCATATTGTTGCTCTCTTCCATGGAGCCGAGCGCGGCCAACTGTTCCTCCAGGCCCCGCAGGCCCTTGGCGGCGCCTGCTGCAGGAGGGGAGGTGTAAAGTGCACCGAGACAGCGTGTGGCGCGGGCTGGGTGATCCCTCCCACGTCTCCCTTTTACTCATGCTGTCCCAAATGGAGGCAGACACCCGGCCAACTGGTGTCAACGCTCCTCCGCCAAAAACCACTGAGTCACCGAGAAAAACGGGGAGGAGAGTCTCTAAGTCCTCTCTTTCCCCTTTTGAAATTTGTTAATTCGGCTTGCTGATCATATCTGATCATATCCAAATGCATAATGACGAGTTTAACTTGAATGTTTGTTTGCTCTTTTACTCTGAGTAAAGTTCAACAATTCACAGCTCATCTTTGATCTTCTTTTCTTTTATTCTGTAAGACCCCATAGAGAATAGAGGGTATATTTCACCTGAAAAACTGTATATCTTTAGATAAATTCACATCTCAATATATTATTAGCTTCAAAGATTGGACAAAATATTTGTTGTTTACAAAAATTTATTCATACAAATCGTACAACACCTTTTTTTCTTTTTTTTAGACATTTATTGACTCAAACTTTATAGTAATCTAATATTCACTTTCCACACAGTAAATATATATATATATATATGTATGTATCTCTGAAGATTAATTCATTTTCGTAAGGCTATTGGCGCTTTCAGTATTATACATGTCATATTTCTTGGGGGAGCTGCCACCTTCCCCCTCCCCCGCTGTTTTCACAAAAACATAGAGCTCTAAAACAAAGTGCAAAACATAAAAGCAGTGCAAGGAGGATTTTTCGATGTCTAAGCAGCTAAAGATCCTATCAAACACAGAGACGAAAATGACAAAAAAAAATTAGTGATGAAGCGTGCGCCACAGATGTGCAGCATTGTAGGGCCACTAAATAGCCATCCGTGATTCATGGCATTTTTTTTTTATTGTTTTTTTTTCTTTTTTCATTTTTTTTGTTACAGTCGATGCAAGGCACCACAGCTGCAAACTGCTCCCCTGCGTCACAAAGCCTGGAGGAAAACGCAGAAGTAAAGAAAAATTGATACAGTAACAGAACGATGGAACAACTTTAATCCTGTTCTCTTTTTATTCCTCATAAAATTTATGAATTAAAACGTCGTCAATAAGATGATTTCTTTCAGTAATTCAATTTAAAAAATTTGTCATATGTTCTACAGGTTCATTACACACCGAGTGATATATCTTGAAAGGTTTCTGTATATTTTTGATTTAAGCATGCATGATATAAAATCCCAAAACTCAGTATTTCCAAAAAATGTCAACATTAAATTCAACTTTTAACAGAGAAATGCAAGGTTATAGAAGACACAATCAAAGTGAAAAGCAGTGATCTGGCAGTTGTTCAACAAGCAATCATTGACACCTAAGAGGAGGACAAACCACTGGTGAAGCTGCTTGTTCTCACATTAAAGGAAAGTTGAGTGGAAGAAAAAAGTGTGCTAGAAAAAAATGCACAAGTAGTAGAGGGATGATTGTGACACACTTTAAAACTGCAGCAATCTAATTCTGAATCTAGCTCTGTCAATAGGAGGAATAAGGACACCAGAACCTACGATACAGATGAGATGAATCCATTATTATACACAGCCATTCTGTGCAGCATAATCTCTGTGCACCTCTTTCTAATGTACTTTTATCTTCCACTCAACTTTCTTTGTTTTAGATTTGCCTGCAGAACTTTTTTAAATAGCAGGCTTCTTTAGAAATATGTTTTTGTGGCTTGCCCTAATGATTATCTGCTGGACAACTATCTTTTTTTTAAATGAGTTTAGTCTAAATGCTTTTTTTTTCTCCCATTAGATTTCCATCAAACTGAAAAGAAATATGTCACTCCATGTGTAATGAATGTGCAATATCTGATACTTGAAACTGACATTTTGTATTGAATTCCTGAAATAAATGTACTTTTGGGTATATTTCAAATTAATGGTTTGGTTACTTTTGCCTGAAAATCAGCAGATTTATTGCCTGCTTCCCCTCAGTTTATGTGCTTTCTGTCCTTAATATGTCATCACTTAAGGCAGCTTTTGTGCCTCTCTTTGCAGGCAGAAATCATAAGATGCTTATTTGGAATTATCTTTAAAAAAATAAAAATAGGCTTTAGTAGATTGCATCAGATTGAGCAACAATAAAGTACATTCAAAACAAGGTCCAACAAACTACTTGTGTAGAAGAGTAAGTGAGAAGAACGGAGCACAAAACATCCAGCAATGGTAGATATGTATGTACGCAGAAGTCAGAAAGCAAGCAAAACCATCTAGTTGTCTGCACAGATGCAATGAGCTGGTGCAATTACTTTAATCATGCAGTCTGCTTGGAGTTTGTACAGCGGTTCACATGACAGAAAATAGGGAAGCACAATAGATCCAGAGTTCAAACCACTTTGTATGTCCCTTACACAGAACAAACTGATGGAGAAAACCATGTAACAAGTATCGTTTCTTTTTTGGGATTTTTCTGCTTGTTGTTTGCTTTTTATGCTTGAAATGTCATTGATACTTATTATATGGACAAAGAGACAAGAGAAAATCTCCAAACACATTGGATTGAAGTTGGTAGGTACACAGCATTGGCCCTTTACATGAGTCAAAAGTGGAGGATCTCTTTGTAAACATTGCTGAAGTGGGAGGAAAAAATGAGGAAAAAGTAAAAAAATAAAATAAAATAATTCTCTGTTCCTCCTCTCAAATCTGATATTTTCTACTTTTGGAAATCATCTGGATCTAACGGGACTAATTTCAGCAAGGTACTATAAACTTATAAATAGTCATATGTTTATTTGTCTGAGGCAGAAAGGTATCATATCTTAATGAATTTGTAGAAAACTGAACAAATCCAAAGAGCAGTAGAAAATTAATATAAACTGTCAAAGGGGCAGGGATTTAGTTATTTTTGCCTAATTAAAACACTCTCAAAATGTTCACACCTGGTGATTCAACACTATATTTACTGATAATAACCGTTTATGTTTAATATAAAGTGGATTAATTAATGTGTACCAATTCTCGGAAACAACACAATAATAATGCTTGATTAAATAAATTATTTTAGATGAAAACTAAAGGCGTAATTTTCAAAAGTAAATAACAATAAAAAAATCTTAACTTAGTCACCTTTGTAAACTGAGATCTGCAAGGTTCTTATTGTGCTGCCATGCATAAAGTTATTGTGATATATATTTTTTTTATTCTCACCAAAGCCGAGATACTTTACTATCATTTTAACAGTGGGATCAGTTTTTGCGTCATTTTAATTTGATTATTTGTTTGCACTTTCTCATTTACGTATTTGTTGTGCAAAATGTATTTCTTCCAATTGGTTTTACGTGTCAGTTTTGATTGTCTCAATATGAACGGTGCATGTGCATTGGGATCAGGGATGTGGAATAGGTTTGAGGGGAAAGTACTTTTGCTGTGATGAGCATTCAGTGCAGACAGAGCGTTTGCATGATGTTAGGAGATTAAGTGTTGTTAACGTTGGGTCTTTTTAGTGATATCTGAGTAGCAGTAAAACGGATTTATGGTACATATGATGCATGAGATCTGCAGGGCAGTTGAATTTTTAGCCAGTCATTGCAGCTCGTTTAGCCAGTGATCTAAATATGTATACAAGTCAAATTCATAAGAAGGCGATGTTGCTGTATCTTCCTATGGCAATTGACCTCAAGGCAGGTATGTAGGAGAGTGATGGGGTAATACTGAAGGTTTATAATATTCACTTTCACTAAGGCACATAAGAATTATAATTAAAGGCTTCCTAGTGACATGTGAATCTTAAAATGCATTTATTTGCATCATTTTAATGTATCATATTGCAATGAATCAAACTATAAAGTATGTAGGGAAGCCTATGTTTCTCCTATTTTAGCTTCTTTCCTCCAGGTCACTTTAAAATGTCCTCATCTAGTCAAACTTGCTTTATTGGGCAAGAGATTTCTCTGTATTTCATATGTTTGAACAGTAAAAGAGCCTGCTCTCATGAGCACTATGTGTGTCACTGGAATAATAACATGCAAAACCTCATGAGTGCTGATAAGTAGTTTTTACCTGTAACTTTTACTATGTTCTATATGAACAGAGGCCACTTTGGACACTAAAGAATTCTGATTTTAGGGGGTGGTGTTGTATTTACAACCAGAAATTACGAATAATACAATTTCCATGTAGTACGAGAACACAACATAATGTTCTTTTGGTGTCTGAAGGACACGTTTTTAGGGACAAGGGACCATTTTTCACTGGCTGTGTGATAGTCAGTTGGATAAAATACTTTAACTAGATAAAATCTTAGTTGGCAAGTGAATCTAATCCTATTGAAATTGGCGATTCTGTATTTTCAAATTAGCAGATTGTTGGAAGTGTAAGAGTAAATGTACTAAAACCTAGTATGCACCATATCAACATTCTCAAAGATTTGAAACTAGACCAGGCCTGAACAGCAAGTCAGTCCACATTTTCTGTTTTAGAGAAAACTCAGCCGCAGCTGTGCTAAATGACTGCTCATAAATATTTACAATGTTCACAATAAAGTATTTGGTTCATAATGTGGGAGAACTGCTCTTACTCAAAGTTGTATTCACACAAACTCACTTGAAACCCCAACTAATACAATTCTAAGTGGTCTTATGTGAAATATAGAGAAGCCACGCTTGCATTAGCCCAGCATGTCTTCAAAGTATAAAAAAGCTCAACAAAAAAAAATGTATAGGGCCTTCAGCTTGGGCTATTTTCTTTACTTGGGTCTCTGTAAACTTCAATTAAGCTATACAACTACAGGTACTTTCCCCATGTGTTTTTGATCACATTCACATCTGCACTGTCTCTGGGATTCCACAATTAGCAACCTTGCAAAACCTATGCTGTGCCAACAGGTGGCGACAAGGTCAACAATACGTCATATTGTTGAAGGAAAATATCCTAAGCATGGCTAAAGCTGTGTTGGGCAACAGATTTATCCTAAAACAGCCGCAGCCAACGTTTTCATTAACAAGAATTCCCCCTCAATTATCAATTATTAACAACAAAGTCAGGAGAATGTGAAGCAGATGTGAAAGGACATTCAAACATGTCTCATTTGTGTTGTAGTATCTAGTACAGAAGCAAAGGTGGCCAGGCTCAGCGTGGGCAACTACATTATCATGTCTGCTGCACTCAGATATCTCGCACACACATAAACATCTCAAGTATTAATTTTAGAAAATATTTCTGAAAGTTAACTTTTTATTTTCCTTTGGCAAAACTTCCTATGCTCGTGGACGTGATGTGCAAATGCATCAGTTTCTCTTTTGCAAAAATATCTGTTTTAATGTGGCCAGGCCCCTCGACTACTCAGAGGGTATATTCACTTTCCTACAAACTCACTAATGTGCAGCATCTTTCCACTACTGGTAAAGTAGATAGCATCTTTACATAACCGCTCTTTAAAAAGTCTGACCTGCCACTTTAACCTCAAAGGTTACGTCAGATTGGCCAATTTCCTTTTCTCAGTCTTCATTAGTAACCTGCGTTCCTGTTGTCCGTGAGCCAAAAGCACAGATGAGGTGAAAGGAGAGTTTGATTCGAGACTCTAAAACAACCTCACAAAGTGAGAAAAAAAAGGAATAGAACAAAGAAGAAAAAAAAAGAAGGAGGGACTTGAAAAGTTCCAGTTTCGGGAAAGAGCCGGAAACTCACCGCAAATTCGGGAGAAAACTGTTTCAGCCAGTCTCCCAAAAAAGCGTCAAGCTCATCCCCGTCCGGGAGGGCGTCAAAGTCTATCGCTTGTAGGATATGTTGAATACCTATGTCTTCAAGGCTGTTGTGGATAAAGACAACTAAACTCTTAATGTCATGTTTCAGGGAGGAAGAAAGCAGCATTTAATGCATTGATTATCTTTTAAGCTGTTTATTTTTCCCTCTTGTTTCTATGTCTTTGCTAAAAGTTTAAAAGACAGAACTACTAAAACAAATTTTCATGTTAGCCAAGAGACATATTTTCTCTCTAAATGAACAAAAATTGGTCCACATTGGAAATAAGTGCATCCTTAAGTGCTTCAAGTACAAAAAGAAAACAATATTATCAAAATATTCATTTAATGGCTTACTTCATACATAAATACATGTCTTAGGAACACAAAAAAGCGATCCACTGATTGGTAAAATCTCCAAAATGACTTCATCTGGGACTGAACACATTGATTTTTTTTTTTGTTTTGTTTTTTTGTGGGAGGGAGGGGGGACAGTGGGGTTCTCTATACTCAGGAGGCTTAGTGGGCGATGCTACAAATACGCCATCCGCCGTCCTTTGTTTCTAATTCTCTGTCTGTACCTTTTCCCCAGGACCGCCGCCAGGTATTTCTTGACAGCCATTTGCTTCCTGTAGCGGCTGTAGCTGTCTGTGAAGATCCCGTCTGAGTGTCGCTTGGAGAGGGGCTCCGAGCTGTCGTCCAGCGTTTTGCCCCCACTGTGGGAGACGAAACAGGGAGCCATGTTACAGAGGGTCTGCGCAGGGCACATGTACAGTACATTTCAGTAACCCTAAATAACACGGCTGATTTGAGATTGTCAGGAGAAGACCTTGAATGAAGAATCGTAACCAAAGTTGGGGATTTCAGTGTGCATTTTCCACAAACTGAGTCCACCCGCCTCTCTCCAATCAGAATCCACCGGGATTTAGTCCCATAAATTATTCAGAGGGAAATAAATCTAAAACTGTTTAACTTAATTCTCCCCTACTGCCTTTTCCACGGCAGCCAGCTTGAAAAGTTAACACTTCCGAAATGAATCAAAGAACAGTTTGCTCCTCTTCCTGGTGATTTCACGATGAGCTGATTTAGTAGGAAGGGGTGGGGGCACATATTTGGCATCACGTTGAGGGAAAACAATTACACCACAGACATATTACAGCATGAGTTATGAGCATTTAAGGACCCAGCACACAGAAACAAAGACGCACAGAGAACGAGAAACGGCAGATTTAAAGAAAAAAAATAAAAAGAAGAGACGAACAAGAAGATTCTTACCCTACACGTTTTGCCATCAGAGAATGAAGGTATTTCCTTGCTGATAACTGACCCAGCGCTTTCCTGTAGGCTTTATTAAACATGCCGTCTGCATGCCTTTCCATTCTGGGATGATATAGACAGCCACACGGTAAAAATCACCACACACACTAAACGTAGCGGCACATATTCAAACTCTACAGGGCAGCAAATATCCGTCCTACGATGTTATTTGGTGGAATTTGCTCAAATTTTCAGATAAAAATTTGGCAAAAACTGCTGAAAAGAAACCATGAGAATTTTGCTAATTGTTTATTACTGTAGTTTAATTGAAAGATGGTATATAGATAGATAGATAGATAGATAGAGATATCTATATATATATGGGATGTATATTATCTATAAAATTGTTGGTCTTAATTATCGTCTGTTTAGAATAATTTTTACAACAAGCTTTTTTTTCTGACTGAACTTGTCAAAGGCATCTCCAAATAGTGAATTAAACTATGAGCAAATGAAATACAAGACATACGGAAACATTTTGACGATACATTGATTTTACACAGAACAGATACATAGACAGGAATACAGAAACGGCATGTTCAACAGGGATGTCTCATACACTAACGAATGACAAGGTTTTATCCTCCAGTTTTGCTTGTTGAAAACAAAATCACCTTTTCTCTGACGGGTAGAACATGGTGAAGACGTCGTCTGCGACAGAAGAGGGGCTTCTCACCTCCAACTGATCTCCATCATAATCCAGGGAGGGCAAGGAGTTGCCACCCTCATCATAAAGCTCATTGTCAAGTCTAAAATGTTATGTTTAAAAAAAGGGAGACAAGAATTTTACAACCAAAGCAAACTTTAATTTGAAGGGGTTACATTTTTACTCTAGAAATGAGGAGAGGAAACAGTGTCTAATAGCTTTTTGTTGTATCTGTTTTGCTCCAGTTTAATTCCTATTAATTATACATCCAGATAGATTGATCGATTAATTGCCAGGTCAGCCTAAGGCTGTGCCACAGCAGCCTAAACTGCATTACCTCCTCTCCCTGGTAGATGTATCTCAGCCCCTATAGATTGTCTGTCAGTTGATGTTATCCTGTAATAAGCTGTAATACTCACAGATGTAACTTGAAGATCTCATACTTGCTGCTGTGCTTGTACAGTACAGGGATTTTCAACCAGTTCTACCAATAAATAAGTGCTAAAATGACTACATACCTTATACTTGGAAAGCTTATTCCTACAGGCGAGCAGTTGATGCTGTGATGCATTATGATTCCATAGATGAGCAGTGCTAAAGTTGCTTTACTAGACATGGTCCTGCTGAGGGAAAATGAATAAAAATAAAATTAAAAAATAACTATGAGACTATAAAAGTGATCCTAAGCATATTATTGTATTCAATTACATTCTAATTTTCATGGGAAGAAAAAAAAAACATAATCAGAAGATGTTTTAATCCAAAATTGCATCACTTTTACGCTGCGTAAAAGCGCCTCTTCTTACCAGTTTCGAGACGATAGACACGATCTTCCGAGGACCTCAGCTAGGAGAATGAGGTTGGACCTCTATCTCAGTCTCTCTCACTCTCTTTCTCTGGGAAGTGTTTCTTCAGCGTCCTTGTTGGGATTGTGCAGCGTACCGTGCGCCCTCTGCTTAGCTCTTTTCTTTCTTTCTTTCTTTTTTTTTTTTTTTTTTTTTTTTTTGTTAGCTCATGGCGGGGACAAAAGAAAACAAAAAAAACCCAAACTCCACAGCAGCAGCTGCTGTCTCTGTCAAAACTTTCCTGAGTCTTGTGAAGTTGCCTCTCTTTTGGTTTTTTATCCACGAATTCGAAAGGCTCGTCTCTTTGCACTTATCATGTTGGCAGAAAGGGGTGGGAGTTAGAGTTAGAGGTGGGGTGTGGAGGTGGGTGGTTGCGTCATCAGTCCTTTCCGCCCTCACCCCTCCCTTTCTCTATCCCATATGAGCGCAGACGTCTTCCGCGTCAATGAAAGACCCCGAGCCGACTCATAAAAAAAGAAAAAAAAAACTAAACGAGCGAGTGGCTCTTCAATTCAAACATCATCATTAATTAAACCGTGAATTAATGTCAACAGCTGACGTCACGCCATAAATAGCGTCACGTGACGGGCCTTCGGAGGCTGTTGTGGCCAGGATAGGAGCTGTTCGCTACTGGAAGTGCTGAAATGAGCGTTAGAGGCAAGAACAAGACGTAAACGGGAGGAAGTCATTTATTTTATCTGGCTACTTTCAATTATGTGTCCTTTAAGTTTCCATTCGGCCCCTTAAGCAGTTCACACAACTTAATACTGAAGCATATAAAGTTTTTGGTAAATATATATCATAGAAAATTAGTCAATGTTACTATTTTTTTTTTAAATAAAGCACTTTAAAAACAACAGCTGTGATAAAGTGCTGTACAGAAACAAAAGCATCGAAAAGATAAAAGAAAATACACAACATTAAGATCAATAAAATGTTAAAACGGAAGTAAGAGCAAAAATGTATATAAAAACTCAATTTAATTTCTATTTTTAGGTTTAAAATGAATTAAAACATGTGATCTGCATATCTACATATTACTCTTGGTTTGAGTATGTCATTTTTTAATAACTGCACTGTATTTGTTCCCCCATATGTTGGAAATTTGTTCTTACTGTACATCTTATTCTTATTTTTGTAGTTTTTACCTGCATGTTCCTGTTTACCTCAACTTGCTGCCATGACACCTGAATTTCCCCACTCTGAAAGATAGTTCTAATTTATAAAACTTGTGCAGAAAGAAAATTGGTGCATTTCCTTCAGTAGAGGTTTGTGAAATATTATGTAAAACGAAATAATAAAACACACATTATCAAAACTAATGACAAGGGAAAAATAAGTCTACAAATATTACTGGTACTTTTAGTCATTCTGTCATGGAAATTCAGTGTAATTATTCTATGAAAACCTCTAAAACTTGTATTTGTTGTTATAGCTATATTTAAAAACATTTGTTGGCTCTTTATGAGCCATTGTGGAAGATACAAAGACCCGTGGTTTACTATTCAACATGCAACTGCAATAAATCATAAAAACTGGTTGCTTGCACAAGTTTCAATCTATTGTGTATTTTCCTTATTCCACACAGGCTCAAAAACATACATAAACCTCCAGTAATATTCAGATGCATAAATCTCAGCAAGTTGCAGTGCAACTAGATGCTTTTTATAGGCATTGAAACATCAACAGAGCAATCTTTACCAAACCTGGACATAAAAATTTGATTTGATTTATTTGTTTGTGCAACAAATCCAGTTGGGGAAGAGTTTTAATCTCCTTGTTCAGCTCCCTGTCAGTCTGGCGTCACTGTGGATGGTGACACCAGCATTCAAGCTGCTTCCAGTCATGGTGGCTTAAGTCTGGGTGGTTCTTGAACACTATTAAACTGAAAATTCTTCTGTGGGTGACAATTTAGGTCATGTAGTTCATTTGGTTTGTCCAATATACAAAAGAGGCCGGCACATTCATCAGAACTGGTGTTAGAACGTGTCGGGGCAGGATAATGCCAAGCTTCTCCAGTGGACTCCACATCTTTGAGAAGCTGCCACATGAGCAAAATTAGACTAAAATGCATTTTCCCAAAGTTCTGGGCAGAAGTGTGAAGTTGCATAAGACTAAAACTCTGATTAAAACTTACGTTGAGTTGGCTTTTTTCTTTTCTTTCCTTTTATCTCCCTTTCTACCGCGTTCATTAGAAGTCAGATGTGCCTTTCCTCTGCGCAGGCATCATCAGGGCCATGTGTTGAATCTTTAGTAGGTGATTCAGACCTCTTCGGTCTTCTCCGCTCTTTGACGTCATGTCATGGTTTGCTTAGCAAAAAGGAAATGCTTTAATTTAAATTCTTGAGAGATAGAAGAAGGGGAATATGTGAAGAAAAACATATAAAAAAAAAACCGCCTTAAAGATTAACTCTGTTTCTTGTACTGGGTGAGCACTGCACCCCAGTGGTTATGGGAAGAAAATGCATCACGAGTCTAAGACAGATCAAGAAAATCAGCATGTCTAGCTACCAATCTTAAATCAAAATTGCACAGAGTGAGCTAAAGTATCATTTAACTGATTTAGATGCAAATATGTACCTAATCCTCTGATGTGTAAAAATAGGTCCACTGTCTCTTGGACACTTAACCATGTAATTATGACTGAAGCAGCTAATCATAACATTTTCATGACTATCTTATGTTGAAATGAATCTAAGTAATCATTGTAAAGTGGTGATTACTCATTCAGCTTCAATCATCTCTTAATAAGCTGCTTTTCTGATTGTGGCAGGATATGTGGATCTAATTACAGCATGCATAAAGCAGATATGAATGTTTAGCTTTAATAAACCAATGCTTGAGTCACAGCAACCTTTAAAGCCCTTACTGTATGTTAAATACTAATAAACCTGCTGACCGCAGCGTATCATATTTGCCATACACTTCACTAATCAAAATGCATGACGGCACCAGGTTTTTGTTTTTTTTTGATAACTATTGCAAAAATAAATATGTGCACTGTTTGTTCAGATGTGTCTTCATACTGTTTTCTCAGAGGCTGAGGTCTCAGTAATCATATTACACCACACGGAGTAAAACTGAGCTTTATCACTTCAAACAAGACAGCAGAGGAACATATGACTCATTCTAATTTTAGCTCTGTTTGCTTTTAATAGCCTCGGCTGTCTCCGCCGCTGGTACGTTGTGTTTGAAGAATTTTATTGATGTTGCTGTCTCTTAGCTCAAGTGCTTACAGAACAAGCTTTTTTTTTTTTTTTTTGGTAATCAAATTTGAAAGGTGTGTGGGCAAAGTGGCATTCTGGACCCTCTGTCATGTTGTGGGGAATTGACTCCATTGCGGGGACGAGAAAGGAAGCCCTTATCTTGTAAATCATTACATTTAATGTGAAGATTTGTGGTCAGTGTTCATCTGCAGGAAATTAACATGACTCACTGTTACAGTACAAAAAGTAATGTTTAGTTTGGGAGATTCTGTGTACTTTTTAATGTAATTTTTTTTCTTTTTTTTAACCAATTAGAAACTGAGTCAAGAAATAAAAGTTAGAAAGTTCTACCCTGTTGAGTCAACTGTTCGTTTATTGCTTGTTGTCTACTGTTTATTTTGTTCTTCTGACAGAATCTGACAAAAAGATTAAATGGCATTATGGTGCTTTTGTGACAAAGACACAGTAGGAATAAGAAGAAAAAGAAACATGAATTCAAACACATTTTTGCAGCTTTTTTCCCCACAACACATTTGTTCAAATGCATTATCTTACTTTTGACAAATAAAAATAAAGACTGGTGAATTCCGACCAAGTAACTTTCATTATTTTTGGTGTTAGATGTTTTCTGAACATTGAGGTTAAACTCCTTGTCTTTTACCGGGGGTGAAGTACTCATCTAATGTGCCAAAACTGATACAAACATCTTTGCCATTATTATCGGATCTATGGTTCAGAACAATAAATAAAAAAAAGTTGTTCCTGCAATCTTTTCAATAAAGAGGACACAACATTTCCAAAGAGACAGATATCTTCATTGTAAAGTACATAGTTTAAAAATGGAAACACGTTTTAATATTTTTTCATTAGTCACACAACTGTTCCACACTTTCTTATCCCATGTGCAAAGATGGCAGAGCACTGTTTTTATTTGCAATTTCAGCTTTAATATCTCCTTCGAGTTAATCATGGTAGAGTTTTCATATAAACTCTAAATTAAAAACGATCAACCTCATAGGAATTCATCAGGTGCAAGATAATTGACTTGGTTTGTCAATAAACTGGGTCCATCATAGATAAATTAATGGCAGGAATAGCTCATCAACCACACTAAACCTCCTCATATATCGTCCTGTAGGTAAACATTTCTGATAAAAGTCATCATTTAATGTAAGCAGACAAGAGAGTGAATAGATTTTATGAAGTACAATGAAGGTTAAAATAATTAGTGCAATATAATACCCTATCAGTAAACCTTCCCAGACAAGGTTCTCAACATTTAATGTTAGTTAATTGGCATCTCTATCAGTTCCTATCAAATAAGTTCAGTTCAGTTCTCAGAAAAAGTCCTTTCTTAATACCCATTAGGGCAGGGGTGTCAAACTCAATTTCACCGAGGGCCACTTCAGCATATTGGCCCCCCTCAACGGGCCACATTGACG